AAAAAAAAAAAAAAAAGAAAGAAAGAAAGAAAGAAAAAAGAAAATTCAAAACATGAAAATTAGTAAAACAAAAAAATAAGGAAAAAATTTTAAAAACAAATAAACAGCCAAGGACATGACCTGGAAAAAGTGCTTATAAAATATAATAATTCTTAATTCTTTCCCTATTTTATTTTTTGAATAATTTTCTAAATCTATACATTTTTGGCAAATTGTGGGACTTTTTTTTTTTTTTTTTACCATGTTGCTTATTGCCTTTTTTCCCATGTTTTTGAAAGAAGACGCACCAGTTTTCTCAGGGTTCAAAGGTTTAAGTGTTTGCAAAAGGCGTCAGAAAGGAGCACAAGAAAAGTGATGTCACTTCACATTTCAAAGGGTTAAACAACAGCGTACATACAATATTTCCCCCTCACTTAGCATTTTAAGTAATAGCTTAAAAGCACTGTGTGATCAGGCACAATCTGCCCAGCATGTCAAACTCTGTCATCAGAACCACATCACAGGTTGAAATCAGGATCAGCAATGAAGTTTCTAAACATTGTGACCAATACTGGACACACTACATCCATAGGAGTGGGGTTTTATTTCAGTTGGAGGACAGTTAAAGATAATAGCTCGATGAATTCCTCCAATTTCGCTTCAAAATTTTAAATGGCAAATAACTGAATTACTGAAAACAATATATTTGCAACAGATTACATTTTTAAACTTAGTGATACGTGCCATGTCTATCGTTGTTTGAACAGATGACCCCTTACTAAGCGACATATTTTACAGATATTTCATATTCAATGTGTAACAATAACAGTACTGAACAACTGATAAACTGTGCAAGAAACACAAATAATAAATGCAATAACTGCAGGGATTTTGAGTAAAACAAGTAATTTGGATGAATTTTGAGTAAATTACTTCCTTATGATATTTCATCAAAGATCAGTTTTCCTTGGGGTGCCCAGTAGCTCACCTGGTAGAGCAGGGGCCTCATGTACAAAGGCTATGTCCTTGCTGCAGTGGCCGTGGGTTTGATTCCAACCTGTGGCTCTTTGCTCCATGTCATCCCTCCTCTTTCTCCCTGTCACATGTAACCTGTCCGGACTAATAAAGGCACAAAAAAGCCGATTAACATGATTCTTTGGTCTGTATTCTGATTTTTAACTTTAAAATGAACTATTTAATTTAGTTTTCTTCATATGAATGACATGCTGAGATATAGACCTGCTGTTTCTTACACCCCTCAGAAACAAGAGGGCCTCACGACCTCTGTGAAGCTTTGGTGACCCCTAGTAGGGGTTGGGCCCCAGGTTGAGAAACAGTAGTTCCCAACTGGTCCAGTGAGAGGGTCCAGATTTCTCCCTGGTCATTGGTTCAAGGTCCACAAAGTTTAATATATTCAGTGTCATACTTGGGTCTGGTCATATCGTTGAGTTAGTTTGCATCTCTGTTCAGTAGCTGTCTGTTACTCACTCACTCTACAACAGGAAACAGCACTTCAAAATAAAAGCTTGTGCCGTAAATTCACTGTGCTTCAAAAATAAAGTGTGTTTTTTACAAACCTGACACAGTATTAATAACAAACAGTGCTCCGGTAGGTAGGCCGGTTCATAACATTCAATATTCAGTATAACACCTGTGAGTGACATCATTTTTCTTGAACAGTGGTGTAGGATGTTGTGGCCACTGGCACTTTGTTGCATTTCACAAAATAAAATAAAATAAAACTCAATTTACTTTCTGATCACTTGCACTGGAACAATTATGACTTACTACAAACATTTTTGTTCCTACAATCTTGACTTGATTTTTGAATGCAAAGTGAATTCTTGTGAGTATTAAAATGATACAGAGCTCACAACTAATTGATGTTACTAACATGAGAGTGAGTTTGTGATTCTGATGTGGCCTCTCTGTGAGCTACAAACAAGATGTATGCCAGGTTTATGATGTAACACTGGAGACTCTTCACTGACTCTGCAGACAGATAAGCAGTTCGCCAACATTTCAAGAATTTCCAACAACATCCCGCTCTTTATTGCACTAACTTTAATCACAAGTGGGGTTAAAACTGGTGAAAGACTAAAGCTGGAGAGAACTCAAACTCGGATGAATGCCAGCAGGAATATTTTTCAGAGGTTCCTCTATCACTGTGAAAAGGCTGTGGATGTGACAGTCAGGGCCTTCACGTGAAACGCAACACATTTCTTGGGCAGTGTCGTCCTCTAGTGCCGGTAGGTAGTTACTACACTTTATAACAGTCATTTTAGCTGCTGATTTGAAGCATGTTGAACAGCACTGAGTTGTGTACGTTCTTTGCATTGCAGATTAAATGAGTTAGATTAGATTAAATCAGTTTGTCCAGGTCAGTTAGTCATTAATCAACCTTAATCCCCTGTAACTGTTAAACTGTAAGGGAGCTTAATTAGATGAATTTGTGGGCGTTTTCATACGACCTGCACGGTTAAAAAAGACTTGCAGCATGATGCTTGTCAGTATATGTATGTGCTGAGAGGCAGAGAAACTACCTGAGGGAGGTCTACAGGTTCACTCTGTTACACACAGACATTCATAACTATGAATTAAGAGACTCCAGTTCACCTGATAAGCTGCAGTTAATCATTTTCTTAAAATTTATGTCAGTTGACTTGAAAATATCCTCATATACTGTAGCTAGAGATTTGTACTGATAAATAAATCAGATAATATTGTATTATATCATTACACACATTGTAATCTGTCAACTTAATATAGTAAAACTGAACGGCGACATCATGCAGGAGGCTTCAAATGTTACTCCAGCAGTC